CGAGCCCCCACGGGGCTCACGCTGTCCCGGGCGTCTCTCTTGTGTCACAGCGCCCTCGACCTCGTCCCTTTTGGGGTCAAACCCCTCCTAAGGCGGGCTGCAGCCTACGAGGCCCTGGAGAGGTACCAGCTGGCCTATGTGGACTACAAGACGGTGCTGCAGGTGGACTGCTCCATCCAGGCTGCGCACGATGGGGTCAACAGGTAACGCCGCGCAGAGCTTGGGAAGGGCTTGGGAATACCCGGCGCGGGTAGCCGCTTCGGTCAGCCTTGCCTTGTTCCCACAGCCCTGTCAGCAGCGAGCTGGGGCCCGAGCACGCGGGAGCAGCCAAGGGCTCTGATGCTTCGTGCAAGGCAAGGGCCTAACCGTGCTCCTCGTGGCTGCCAGCACCCTCAGCGCCTTTCCAGATGCGGGTTGAGGGCTGGGAATCAATTCCCTGGGACCATTTCTGCTTTGCTCCGTGCCTGTTTTAAAACAAATAATAAGCTACAGGCTGCCAGTGCCCTATCCGTTAAGCCTCCCTGTGCTGGCTGGGTTTCCAGGCTGCTGTAGTCCTTCCTGGAGCAGTCTGCTTCACTTCATCACTTGCCAGGCTGAGGAGCGACACACACATTTCTCGCTTGTCTGAGCACTGACAGCTCCAGCCCTCATCCTCTGGTGTTTTCAGCCTTGCTGACATGAAGAAGCTCCTTCTGTTAATGTCCTGTCTGTAGAAGGAACTTAGTTTAGGTGCATGTCAGGGGGTTCGTGGAGGGATGCCATCCTCGGTACACGATCCGGGTTACAGTGTGACCCTGCTGGGTACTGCATGGCCCATCCAGCCAACAGACGGGGTGACTGCCCAAGTCTTTTCCAGGATGACTAAAGCCTTGCAGGAGAAGGATGGCGTGAACTGGCGCCAGAAGCTCCCACCAATCCCCACGGTTCCTGTTTCTGCCCAGACCCAGACAGGGTGGAGCATTCCTTCTGCCAGAGCCCCTGGGGCAAACACTCCTCCTGCGACTGCACCGAGGGAAGGACCAGGTGAGAGCGTGCCCGTGGGCTGGGCACAGAGCCCTGTAGCTCAGGAGGATGAGGAAGACACTGCTTGGCGTGTCTGCTGCTGGAGCTGAGGCCTAGAGAAACTTGGGCCTGGTTCTGCCACAGCCTCGTTTGTTGATTCTGGATCACTTGATGTCTGTCTCTCACCTCTGGTATGGGGATATTTGCTTTCTGAGAGGCTGCACTGATCTTGTCAGTTTTATAGCACTCCGTATTCTTTCACGCTGTTTCCAGACCAGACGGCTGCTGGCACGGAGAGAGCTCGAACTCTGAAGGAAGAAGGAAATGAACTTGTAAAGAAAGGAAACCATAAAAAAGCAGTTGAGAAGTACAGTGAGAGTTTAAAGCTGAACCAGGAGTGTGCAACTTACACCAACAGGTACTACCCGGCTCTTTCCCCAAGTACTTCTTGGCCCTTTATAAAACCCACCACGGCGCTTCTGCCGGAGCGGTCTGATGTTTGCGCCCAAACAGGTGAACGGAACAAAACCACCCACACGTTTGGCCCAAGTGCAGTCTCCCCTGTAGTTTGTATAACATTTCTTTGATCAGGTACTGCAAAAAAACCCTTGGAGACACTCCGCTTAGGGCTGCTAAGGGATTTCTCCCTTTAATGCTTGTCTGCTGGAACTCTGTTATTTTGAGGAGCATCTGCTGCCCCATGAACCACAAATTGCAGACTGCTGTAGATCCTAAGGCAGCTGCAGCAGGCAGAGCATATTCTGGACTGTCAGAAGCAGGAGCCCGCATCCTTGCAGTGCAGGTTCCTCGCTTTAGAGCAGCTTGCTCTGAAACCCCTCTCTTTTTTTCAGACTGTAAAACTTTTTTCCCCTTTTTAACTGAAACAAACTCAAGAGACAAGATTACATAACACGAGGCTAAAGACTCTTTTGGAGTCCAGCCCTGTGCCGCGCAGGGCTTGGCTGAGATGCGTGCTGCAGCGGTAGGTGCTGCTTTTACCCACAGGTCTTCAACCAGGTAATTGTATTGCAGAGCGCTCTGTTTCCTGACTCTGAAGCAATACAAGGAAGCAGTACAGGACTGCACAGAAGCTCTGAGGTTAGATCCTAAAAACGTTAAGGCACTCTACAGACGTGCTCAAGCACTTAAAGAACTGAAGGTAAGTCAGGAGTCTTTGAATGTTTTTAAATTGGGACTAGAAGCCTCTTTGTGCATGATCAGGGCAAGAGATGCTGTTTAGAACTCATTTTTGTTCTAGTCCACATCTGCCATCAGATAGGTGAGACCTGTATGGACTGAGAGGGGATTTTCTTTTACATCTATTTACTGGTTGGATCTCATGAGTTTCTCAGCACCAGGTCCTCTTTCTGGGAATGCTGGAAGCACCTACATGTGTTTGAGCTTTATCTTTGTGTCTGGTGGGAGATTACCTAGGCAGTACTGGAAAACTTGATGCACTGGTGTTGAACTCAGAACCCACCTGAGTGTTGACACTGTCTTCTTGGCCCTAGTTCAGGTGTGTTTTGGAACAGCTACACTGATGCCAGTGCTTAAGCAGTTACACAGAGCGAGTCACAGGCTTAGTTGTGTTGTGGGGTCATACTTCTGCAGCAAGAGCCTTACACTGCATTTCCAATGCACTGACACTTAAAACACATTCTCCTTCTAGGATTACAAATCAAGTATTGCTGATATCAAGAGCTTGTTGAAAACGGAACCAAAGAACACAGCTGCACTGAGGTTGCTGCAAGAACTAAACAGAGCCTAGAGTAACCAAGCAACAAGGAAAGCTTTGTTTTCCACTGCAGAAGAAAGCTTTTTCCCTTCTGATGTTGTTACAGGGACCAATCTTAATGCAGGATCGGTGTTGAAATCTACCTTCCACTGCTGCTGAGATGTAACAGGTTCTGTGCCAGCACAATGAATGTTAAGACACACAGTCTGTATGAAACTCTTATTATCTGGCTCTAAGATCATTCAGAGTTTTAATGCCCCTCCTTGAGAGGCATAGAGGTTCACTTCCCTGGTTGAAGTCAACTTGCCTGTAACTATTGGCCTCAGGGACTCTTTCCATGTTGGCTAAGATGCATGTGAAGTGGCTCTTCTCTTTCTGAAGAGCCCCTACAGAGGCTTTTGGGGTTATTGGTCTTTATTCAGGTGACAGTTTTGCTCTCTGTGTGCTGCTATTACTTAAATAAGGCTGCTGCAGGAACTGCTGCAATTGCCCTAGCACCGTGTCCCACTCTTGTAAATGGGGCACAGTTACTTGCACAGGGCAGAGCTTGTTCCCTCTCCCACTTGATGCCTGTTGGTTCTCAGCTGAGTTTCTGCTGCTTTGTGTGGCTAGGCAGATGTTTACAGTAGCAGCTTTATTTTTAATTATTCTGCACATGGAAGAAAACAGCAAGTTACACCTGTCTGGTTACTCTTTCAGAGCCTGCGTGCTTGGGAATTCTACTACTGGGTTTTGTGCCTTTTTTTTTTAAGCCTTTTTTTTTTTAAAGCCACTTGAGCTCCTCTGTGCCTTTTGGATGTTACAGGGAGGAGGATACTCAGCAACATCCCAAGTGAGGTCTGACTTACTACTTCAATGCATGTTTATACTTTCTGGTATTGATGGCACTGACTTAAAATAGTAGGTAAAGAGACAGTTGGAGTTACTCTGTGAACAGTTAAAACCAGTTCTCATTAAAGCCATGTTTATTTTCACTTTAGAGCTGTGGTTTTTCTATGTGATGGATGGTCTAGGGGAACTGTAACACCCTTTTAACCACTTTACTTCATACTGTCCCCACTCTTTGTCCAAGCACTGCTGCATAATGCCTGACTGTGGAAGGCAGCTGTCAGTCAGTGGCAATACAGCTTTGCACACTGTGCACGGGTGGAGTGCTTTAACCACTAAAATGTTAAAACTAAAAATGATGATTCAACAGCTCAGACCCAGAACTATGGGCCCTGTCTCCATTTCCCACCTTACCCGCCTCTCCCAGCAGTCAGGGGTTCCAGCAGGTCCCCCCCTGAACTGAATTTAGAAAGCAGGCATCACTTCAGTGCCAGTGAAGACAAAGATTTCTTATCTTAGCCTGATCCTAAGAAGACTTGTAGGTCCCAGGGCTGTACTCAGTCAGCTGGAATGGACCAGGGCTGGAAGCTGCTCCTTCCTGAGCAGCACAGATTGCTCCATTGATCCTGCAACCAGCACTCGCCTGAGCTTTTAGGAAGAGGGATGGATTTTCAGGGTAGGGAAGCACAGGCCAGCAGTACACACAACCAGAGGAAAGGCAGAGAACCCAGGGGGATGCCTGGCTTCACTTAATTAAGAGCAGTCCTGTTAAGAGCCCTGCTGTTTCCTGGAGTGGCAGACACCTGCCCTGTTAGCTGCAGGTCGTGGCAGCAGCACTCACCCTCTCTTTCCCCTCTGAGCAACAGCAGCACTCTTTTGTACCTTATCTCTAAGGTTCTCCCCAGCAATACCACCAGGTAGAAGGATCAAGCACAGCAACAAGACACACTACTCCAAGCTCAGGGTCACTTCTGACCCATCTCCCCTTCTATCCCAGTACGGTGCTGCCCTCCGTGCAGGATGCTTCCCAGGCCTGCAGAGGTAGTGCCAGGCACACATACAGCTGGAGAGTGCTTGCCAGAGGCACTCCATCCACCTCTTTCAAAATCCACATCAACCATTCCAAACTAGAGACTCCAGATTCACATTTGCATTACTGCTCCTGCCTCAATTCCCTAAAGCCCCAGACTTTCCCAAGTAGTTCAACCAGGGAGCCACTCTGAAAACTTTCCAATATCCGTCAGTATACCTGGGGATCCAAGCTCCAACTCCACCTTTTCTGATAAACATTTGAAAGACCCCAACCCTCATCATGTCCTTTTTCAGGCTGTTCCCGCATCCCTGCGTTCCTTGGCCCTGCTGCATTCCCTCCGGCTTTACAGCTGTCTTGCCAAGTCCCCTGCCACCATGGGCAGTATCTGAACTGGGCCCTTACAGCTGGAAAAGGGGTGCAGGCAAGCTGGCTGACAGCAGAATGAAGCGTACCTGCACAGTGCCCTTCAGGCATGCACTACACGCATGCAAATACACGTTTTCCCTCTAGCAACAGAGCATAAAAGCTTCCAGCCAGTTACACTTTGGGAGAAATAATGTACAGGACCTTCATTTAAGTTGTGAAGTGGATTGAAGTCCTTTATAAACATCTTACTGAGAAGGAGATACTTAAGCAGAGCACAGTTCAGGCATCTGCTATGAGGAAAATAAATATTTAAGGTGGTCAGAGGGAGAATTGGGGAAGAAAAAGGAACGGTGAAAAGCCCGAGGGGCAGAGTCCCAGCGGAGCAGAGCAGACACCACGCAGGAGCCAGCGTGTAAGTGATGTTATTAGAAAGCTGGCAGGGAAACAAGCAGTAGGAGGGATGACTCAGCAGCAAGCTGAAGCCTCAGTGTGATCCAGCACAGAGAAGGTTGAGGCAGCACCAGCAGCACCCAAGTCGGACAGCAAGAGGTGGGTGGTGCTGGTGGGCTCCTGGCTGCTCAAGGAAGCGGTCACCTAAGGTCAATCCAGCGCCAGGCTCAAGTACCAAGGAGCCTCCAGGGACCAAAATTCCTTTCCTAAATAGGAAGAGCAGAGCATTAAGGGCAGGATGACGACAGCGACATGCTCTGGGATAGGCCCGGAGAGCAGAACCCAGTAGTAACGGGTCCCAGCTACTCCCATGAGCAGGGAGCATCCGAGGGGATGCACTGCAGTTAGGAGTGTTCAGGCCCATCAGTGACTCCTTGAAAGCACGGGTCAGGAACACACACTGGAGAAGCAGCTTTTGATTTACAGCTGCTCCACAATACCTCAAAAGCTGGCTCTTGTGCACCAGCCACACAGCGTGGTGACCAGCAGGAGACACACGTGGCCAGTACTCCGGCAAGCGTACGAGGTCCACTTCCAAAGGAGAACCACAGGAAGATGATGCCTTTTAGAAGTTAAAGGCAGATAGCCAGAAAGGGTAGAATTCAGCTGGATGGTATGAAATTGGCTTAAAGCCATCCTCCTAGAGAGTCAGGATCAGGAGAGCCTGGTTGTGGGCAATTGGTTCATTCACTCCTACGCATCCTTTCCTGCCAGCTCTCAGGAAAGCACTTGCCGTCTTCCTGCAAAGGGAGCTAACCCATGCTTTGTAGGTGGAAGCATCAGTTCTTTATTAGTGTCAGCTACAGGAACAAATAAAACTACAGAACCCAATAAATCCACTAAAAATGATGATTCAACAGCACTTGTCACTTCCTGGGCAAGTGAACCAGGCTGGGTTCCACATGACGCTTCACGAGATGCTTACGGTAGCGAGAAGAGAATTAACGGGGGATTTACAGGTGCAGGAGGAAGCAATTCTACCAGATTTATGATACACAAAACCAATAGGACGGGGCATCGAAGGCACGCCAGGGTCACTGTACAGGCACGATCCCAAAAGCGCGGTGGGGTCGCTGCTGCTATTCTTCAGAGACAGAGTTCTCAGGGCTCGCTCTCAGTCCTGAAGTCTACAGAAAAAGAAACCACCACAAAGAACCCACATATGCCATTTCCAACAGCTAAAGGAACAATTTCATCCGGACAAGAGTTCACCTGAGCTTGGATTAACAGAGTTTCCTCATGATCACAAGTCAAGAAAATATTATCTTCAAAGGGGTACGTGAGAATCTGAGTTGCCTGTTACTGGGTCTGTCTCACCCTCAGGGCCAGCTCTCCCAGTCAAGCCCACCCTGGACTGACAACATTCTAAACACACTGGGAAATCCCAGGAAAAGATTGTGCTGGTCCCCACTAGACCTACAGAAAAGCAAGCTCCTTCTCTTCCTTCTTGGTAGCATAGTCACTGCCCTCGTGAACATAGAAAAACCACACAGAACCACGTCTCTGCAGTACAATTAAGTCTGGAAAATGGAGGGTAGGATTTAAGAAGTAGGTAGGATTTAAGAAGAATTTTTTACAGTCAAAGACACGTTGCTCATCAAACCATACTTGGTCTGGACCAGAAACCCAGTTCTCCATTTCAGAGTCTGGAACCAGAGGCCCTGAGCACACCACGCACACGCCGACACTTCCAGCGTGTCCCTGCATCTACCCGGAGTCACTGCAGGAACGCCGCGGCACTGCTCTTGTGCGACGTCTCGGTAGCCTGGTGCGCTTGGAGAACAGCAACCGCTTCCTCGATCTTACAACAGAGAGCACAAAGGGGAGAAGGGGATGAGTAGCTCCAACACAGGAGCACGCTGCACAAGGAGTGCAGTACTCCAGCTCCCGTCCTCCACAAGGACCCACTTCCAAGAAGTATGGGACTTCAATAATAATGATTATAAAATCCCAGCTTGCTGCTTCCACAGGAGACTGACCAGCTCACAGATCCCTCCTGTCTCTTTCCTAGGAAAATGCTAGGGCATCTCTCCTTTTCTACAGGGGTCAGAACTGCCCGGAGAGAAATCAAACTTCTCCATCGGCAGAGCTAGCTGATACCACCCAGACAGCCCATGCTCCTCCAAAAAAAGGGTCAGCGAAAGGGTAAAACCAAATCCTGCCTCCAAGGAACAACCAGGAGATGCAGTCAACTCCCTCCAACTGTTCTGATGGGAACCAGAGCTGCCTATTCACCACAATAAAGGAGGAAACCGAAGAAATGCTCCTGTTTACCTAGTTTCTATTCCCACAAAAGAGCGTTTCCCCCTCTCCTTCCAGGGAGCAACACCAACTCTGCTTTTCCCCCCTCTCACTT